CCCAGACTCTCAGACCTGGGTGGGCCCTCCAGAGGGCCCCTGATGAGCCCCGCCTCCTGGAATTCACACCGTCCCAGGTCACTTCCCACAACGCAGCACCGCTGGTCTGCACCACCAACAGAGTAAGATGGATGTGACTGCGTATGACTTCCGAGCCCCTTCTGGCTTGCTGCGTCTCGGGTCACTCGCTCTGGAGGAAGCCAGGCACCCTGCCGTCCAGACGCTCGAGCAGAACTGTGGAGAGGCCCCGGGAAGCAGAGCCTCTTGCCCACGGCCTGCACCCGTTTGCCCAGCTTCTGGGGGTCTCCTGGGGGCAGACCCTCCAACATGCAATCAAGCCTCACCCACTGGCTTCCTGACTTCAGCCTCATGAACGGTGCTGAGTCAGAACCACTAGCTAGGTTGCTCCCAGAGAAAACAGACAATTCGTGTTTATGATTGTTTTGAGCCACGAGGGTTTCATACCATTTGTTAGGCAGCAACAGGTAACTCACACAAGCCCTAAAAGCTCAGCTGGGTTGTAGCTATGGCAGGGAGAATCATGGGGGATCAGGCCTGCGGGAGCTCATTGGCGCCCTGGGATTTGGACCCAGCCAGATGGAACAAGTAAGAAGTAAATATCAGGAAGAGAAACCAAGGCCCATCTCCTGGGGCCCAGAACAGAGGCGTAGGTCACACAAACACTGAGCAGGCGTGGCTATGGTCTGAGCCCTGGGGCCTGCTGCCCTCTCTCCCTGAATCCTGCATCCCAGGGGACAGAGCGAATAGGCTGACCCTGACTGCCCCGGTCTTACCCAATCACACTTGGTCTTACAGCCAGGGACTGACTGGTCAACCCCGTTCCGCTGGAGAGCCTCCGCCGCGCTGAAAGCTGGGCCTGGCGTCTCTGACCCCAGCTCGCTCGGCTTCTGGCGGCACTCCCCCCAGCAGGTGGAGGGGCCCGCTCTCTCGCTCTCTCTCTCTCTCATCTTCTCCTCCCTCTCTGCCTACCTTCCCCCACCTCTCTCTCCCACGTGGATGCCATTCCTAGATGCAGAACAACAGCACCAGACTTGTCAGACTCACGAGCAGCCTGGTTCAGTAACACAACCATGGAGAACAACCGTTTATTTCTTGGGTGCCCAGCACGTGTGTAGAACCCACCCCACTGTTCCTGCCGGCCTCCAGCCTGCAGTCTGTCCCCTTTGCTTCCTGCGCAGCCCCATCCTGCGCCGAGAGGGCCCTCACACTCACCCAGCCCACACCCACACCCCCTCTCCCCACAAACCACCGCTCCTTGGACCAAGGGGTGTGAACGGCAGCGATCCAGTCCCCAGGCCAGAAGCAGACAGGCCCTGAATGTGGGTGCAGGGTCATCTGGGAGGGAACTCCATGTTTCACCAGGAATGTGATCTAGAAGCGGGCGGGCCTCCGGCTGGCATGGCCACTTGGCCCAGAAGAGTCCTGACCTCCTGGGCGGCGAGCGGGGGAGACGCCCCAGTGGCCTCCAAAGTAAGGAGCCCAGAGCAGTGGCCCTGATTTCCCAGGCCTGAGGACAATGCCTTTCCAGCACCTGAAACATGACTTGTCCTTTTCTTTATTCCTCGTGACTGACAGCGTCTGAAGGTTTGCTCAAGTGTGTCCAAAGGCAGAGCCAAGGCGTGAGCCTCGTCTGCTCACGCAGGAAACCTCAGCGCCACCAGCTCCCAGACCAGATTCTGAGCCTCCCGGGAGCTGACGCTGTGGTGGTGGGCTGGTCAGGACACCTGGGTGGCAGGGGGAGGGGAAGCCCAGTGCCTGACATGGAGTCACCAGTGCACCAAGCCCAAGGCCAGAGTCCCAGAGAAAGTCAGGAGCAAGGGTCCTGAGGCAGGTCCTGGGCCAGGCAGGGGAGCCCGGGAGGGATCAGACAGCGCCCGGCCCAGCTCCCCCACCACGCCTTGCTACGCGTCCAGGGCCCTGTAGACTCCCGCTCGGGGTCCAGGGAGCAGCTGGGCCTGGCCTGTGGACAGACTGTAAGGTGGCCTCCCCGTGGAGAGGGAGGCCTTCCTCGGGCCCCTCTTCAGCCCCAGATCACCAGTCTCCCCGTGTGCTTGCTGGGGTTAGAGGGAGCTCCCTAACGGTGGTAGAAGGGCATCATCGTGGGCTGTCCTGAGTCCTGCCTGCCGCCGGCCTTGGCTTGGAAGGCCCGGAGACCATCGCTGCGTGTGGTCACCAAGCTGGGGAGACTGAGTCACACAACTGGAGCCCTCGATTCTGCAGGGGCTCCTGCATGGCAGCCTCCATCAGCCAAGAAATGTGGAACCAGGTGACACTTAGCACAATGGCCGTGACGTGGGTGCCACCAGGCCCAGGCTCTGGTTCAGACGTCAGGGACATGGTGGTGGCTGCTAGGAGCCTGCAATTGCTGTGTGTTCATCCCAGCTGTAGTTCTGTGAGCCCCACATGCCTCAGTGCCTCACTCCTGCTTATAAACTTTGTTTTCGTAATGTAACCAAGCTTCTATCTGCTACAGCATCCGAGGAAACGGCCAGAGTGGTTGATTGTCGGGATAGGGGCTGGAGTGGCCTGATCTAAACTCATGGGCTAGGTATTCTGGAAATTCGCTTTAGGGAGCCTGGCAGACCTCTCAGAGAGACTGGCGGTGACCCTCAGCAGCTGAGCATCCCCCCAAAGGGACTGTAACGGGGACACACGTGTTGGACGTGTCAAGATGCCACGGACGGAGATAACAAATGGGGACTTCAAATATTTGCCGCCAATCGAAGTCACGGTCCCGGACGAGCTCGGAGTGGCAGGCACAGGGCTGTCATCGAGCCTGGAGGCCCGGGCAGCGCGTCTGCCGGGCGCCGCTGTAAGATTATCTGGGACAAGGCCGGGTGGCCGTTCCTCCACAGCACAGCTTATAGAGCTGAGCCGATGGGATAAGTGCATACTAACCAGTAGCCACTCGCCTCTGTGGACCTCTGCACGGGATTTTATTTTTAAATGGTTTCCCTGCTGAAGTGCGTGGGGGCCACGGAAATGGCAGGGAGCTTCCGTGAACTTCACTTAAGGCACGTTCCCCAGCAGCTTTGCTAAAACAGCGTGGGAAAGGAAAGCCTTCAGGCCTGGAACGGCCTCAGTCAGGGCCCCTTTCCTGCACCGTAACCACCTTGACTGGCTTCAAGGCTGGCCGTGCCCCGCACCCCCACTTCACACTGACCCCCTGGCCCCCACCTCCCGCACCCCTCCAGGCCAGAGCTTGCTGTGTTCAGAAATGTTCCTTCATCAGCTGAGCGCAGGCCTGGGGGATGCTGGGCCAGGGGTAGGCTCCTGTCATCTGGCGATCCTGAGTCTCAGAGGGAGTTGTCCCCCCCGCCCCAAGCCGCAGGCCCCCATGGCTTGTCCTTCCCACATTCTGTAAGCTCTTGCATTTCACTGAGGAGCCAGCTCAATGTCCAGGCTGGGTGGAGTCGGCCTCCCAGCAATTGTCGCCACGTTTTACCTGGGGGGAAATGGGGGACCCCCAGACTCCACCATGCACCTTCCCACCTCACCCCCAGCCTGTGCAGGATGGCCACCACCTGGGATGATAGGAAAGAGAGGTCCTTGTACTGCTCCAGGCTCCAGAGGAGGGCTGCTCCGGACCGGTGTGGACTGCCAGCCTCGGAAAGCCGAGCTTGTGTGTGTGCTGGGAGGCCCGCGGGAGGACAAGACGCAGACAGGGCCGCCCTGGAGGGCGATCCTGGGCACAGCGCGCCCCCCTGGCACCTGTCTGCACTGCCCTGTATGCCGGAAGCTTCCAGAAGTGATTGGCCGGAGGCCCTGACTGCAGAGCCCGAGCGTGTCTGCCACAGGTCCGTCCGTCCTGGGAGCCCGGGCTGGACGTGCATCCGTCCTGACCTCACTGGAGCACATGTTCGTTCTCTGGTGCTCCTGGGCTGGACGCACACAAACGTTCTCGGCTTCCCGGGGCTCTGCCTGCCGGGCGCTGGGCACGAGGACAGCCACCGGTCCCGAGACCAAAAGTGGCTCCGGGGCTTTTCTTGATGAGCAAAAACAAAAGTGTTGAGGCCTCCAGGAATTTTTCAAAACCTCTGATGAAACAAATCAGAAGATTTTTTTGAAGCTGTGTCTTTACAAGGTCCCCTCCGTGGTGGTGGCCAGATTTTGGCCTCCGGCTTGGGTCCTGAGCCCTCGCTTCTCCCTGGGCATCTTTGCAGGTGATATCCTCTCCCCGTCTCCCCTGCTCTTTCTACTTCGTGTCCCCCACCCACACCTGTGCCCGTATCCTCGGGGACCCCAGTCAGGCCCAGCGCTCTGTGGCCTGGGTCCCATCCTCCATGTACGAGGGCGGGGGGCTTGGTCACCCCTGTATTTCCAGAGGGTCCCTGCTCTGAGAGTCACCAACACGAGCTGGCATTGTTTGCATGCTTCTCTGCTGGATATGTTTCCATCGGCAGGTTCTGTATTTATTCTAAAAGATCCCTTTATGTCCTGATTATTAAATAGAAAACCAGCTTCCTTTGCTACAAATAGGAGGAAACAGTAACAATCAGCGTTCTGAAAACAAAATTATATTAACAAATCCTGCCTAGATACTAAAGGGAGGTCTGCTCTCACCTTTGTGATATTTGTCATTTTACATCCTAAAGTCATCTCAGGAACCATCAGAGGTCAGGACCCAAACTTTGACCATCAGTGAGTTCAGAGATCTTTGGGGTCCCTTTCAGAGCGACCAGTTGAATTATTTATTTTTCTGTTTCTCCCCACCCCCACCCCCCACTTTCCTTCCTAGCAGTTTGCTGTAAGCCCCTGTGATAATCATAACATACGCACAAATACAATCCTCTGGCCTAAAAGTGCACGCCTGAAAAGACTTTTTTTTCCCTTTTTTTTTTTTTTTTGCCAGCGCACAGAACAAGGGACCAGCATTGTTTGGGGAGAGATAACGGGCTCTGCTTCCAACATTTCTCCCCACTGGCCCTGAGAGATACCATGGTGGTTCCTGACAGGAAATCCCCTTCGGCCTCATGGAAAACCCAGAGAAGGAAGCAGAGCAGCCCCGTGGACGGTTCAAGCTCCACCCAAAGCTGTAGAAGTAAAGAGAAGTCACCGTGGCAGGCCTGGGTCCCACAGCCCTTGGGCTCTGACCAGCTCTGCAGGGACCCCCAAGCCTGAGGAAGACGCATACACGCCCTGGTCTCTTGAAGCTGCCCCTGCTCCGAAGGTTAGCAGGTCCAAAGTGGTCTCCATGCTAACAACAACTTGACCGAATCTGCAGAGAAAGAGGCATCGCTACCCCCTGATTTGCAAACAGAAAACCCAGGGCCAAGAGACCGTGCCCAAGATCAAACACAAGGTCAGTGCCAAGGTCAGCATCACTCCCTTCCCCACTGCTGCCCACCCCACGCACGGTTGGTGTCAAGGCTCACTATGTATACTGCCTGTTCCTTCTAGAACTCAAAAGCTGAGCTCTCCAGGGCCACCAGTGAAGGTGGCCGGAGCACCTGGTGTGGGAAAAAGGAGAGAGCACAGGGAGGTGAAGGAAAGTCTGGTCTGTTAAAGGCCGGTCTCCTCCACCTTGAGGCTCCCAGCCCGTCCCTCCCCTGCACACACACGTCCCTCCCAGGCCTCCTGTCCTGGCGGTGGGTGGCAGGCACTCTCCTGCCTTCTCTGCCCTCAAGGACCACGGCCCCAGTCCTCATCTTTGCTGGAGCCCCAGAGGGCAACTGAGTCCCAGTTACAGAGCACAGTGCTCGTGCCGAGCACCACCTCACCCGTCCTGCCCCATCCCAGCCTGGCCTGGGGAGAGTGCCTGGGGAGAGCAGGGCTGGCCCCTGCTGACTGCTGACTTGAGCAGCCATCTGCTGCTCTAGTCCTTCCTGAAACCAGCCAGCTCTACCCCAAGGCTCGCCCAGTCTGCTGGGAAAGCAGCAGGTGAGGCTGGGCTCCAGATGGGCCCCTATGGGGGGCCCACGTCCCCACCCTTCTCCCGGGTCCTCCCTGCTGACCGCCCCCGAGGCCTGGGGAGCCCTGTGTGCCCTCCGAGCTGCCTCACAGCCCGAGGGCTTTTAGGAGCCTCCAGCCAAACCCTTTTCTACCCAGGAGCCCTTATTCCCAAATTGTGTTTTTTAGCACACGAACTGAGATTGCTGACCAGCGCTTCTTTTGTTTTCCCAATTGGTGCTGATCATGATGTGGGGAGCCCATCAGACCCCGCGTAGCCACAGAACCGGCACCACCCTCTGCACTGAAGATGCCCACAAGAGCCCCTGCACCCCCTTCTCTACGCCTCTGTGAGTAGCTGACAGCTTTGACCCACCCGCTTGCCCTCCCTAGGACGGCTGTGACAAATCACCTCAAACTGGGTGGCCTGAGACACCAGGACTCCCTCCAGTCTTTGCCCCATTTCACGTGCGCCCCCCACCCCCGTCTGTTGCAGGGTCTATTTCCCTGAGGAAAAGGCAGGGGTTGTTAAGTTTCGGGGCGGGGGCGGGGGTGGGGGATGGCGGGGAGGACACCGACCTGCCGTCCATCTCATTACTTCCAATAAAACAAGGATCTTTAGACCCGTCTTGGGAAGTTAGGGAACCACTGAACCACAGAAAAGGGAGGAACATCCACGCAGCCAAGCCCTCGGGAGGATGGAGGAATCCCCTCCACAACCCCTTCCCAAAGTCTTCCCAGCATCTGCCCGAATTCTTCCACCCACCACCTCGCGAGCAACAGCGTAGCCTGGGGAAGCCCCACTTGGAGGAGCACTGTCCAGCTGAGCCAGAGGCCAGCCCCTGCAACCCCCACTCCCAGCCCTGAGTTTAGCCCTGGGGCCACTTGGAGCAGGTCTGAGTCCCTGGCCTGGGGGAGATGCTCCTCAGGGATTCAGCAGGGGCTACTCCAGGTCCAGCAGCCCCCTGCAGCCTCCGCGGCAAACATGCCCGCGCGTGGGGTCTTCTAGGTCATTCTTCTCTGGACGGGTCCCAGCCTGTCTCCACCCCTTCGTTTAAAAGGGAGGTGCCCAGAGCTGAAAAGGATGGCCATCTGCATGCTCCTCCTTCCTACAAAATTGAATCCAGGGCTGGGAGACCAACAATGAGCAAGACAGAGTCCAGCCGTTGTGAAGCTCATGTTCTGGTTGAGCGGGATGGGGAGAGTATCAGATGGTGGTGCTCTTCAGAGTCAAAGCCGGTCCCACGATGAGGCATGACCAGTGGCCAGGTGGCCTCTCCAAGGGGCTGACGTTTATGCTGAGACCCCAGTGACAAGAAGAACAGCTGAAGCCAAGTCCCTAAGGCCGCAGCAGACTGCCTTCCTCGTAGCCTGTCCCTGATGCCCCCCAGTGCCCCGCTGTCTCGGCCCCCACCCACCACGCTGCCCCTGCTCCTTTCTCGGGGCCAGCAACGGAAGGGAGGTGGCACCCAAGGTAATGTCACAGGGAAGGAGTTTCCTCCTTACAGAGAAAAATTCCAGAATTCCAATGGCACAGAGAAGAGAGGATTATGTGGCCATTCGGGCAGCCCATCCTTCTCCCTGCAGGCAAGCAGTCTGGCCGCGGAGGGCCCTTCTCAAAGGCGTGGATCTGCCTCCAAGCAGAAAGACAGGCAGAGAAGATGCCTGAAGCGGGGTACTCTGCAGCCATCCCCAGCGAACCCGGAGCTCTGCCCTGAGCCCCGAGTGCCCACCCCCCAGGGGTCTACAAGGCCACCCAGGGGCCAGCAGCAAGGCCCAGCTGAGATGTCCTGTCTGGCGGCCTCTATCCCCGTGTGGCAGGGTCAGTCCCAAGACCCATGTCGTGACAAGTCCCCCAGTGGGCACTCCTGCCTGTGTCCCTGTCCCCAGTGGAGAGTGCTGTCAAGGTGGGCATTTTCTTGATCACCAACACCTACCATTGTGCCTGGAATAATCATGCTCTACACAAGTTTGTTGAAAGAAGAGCCAAGAGGAGGGAGACAGAGGAGGAAGGAATCACAGAGCCTCTTACACAGCCGTCCCCACGAGAGCGGGCTCCAGGAGTGGCCCCAGTTCCACGTGCATGCCTCCTTCCCCTCCCCTTCTGCTCCCCTCCTCCCCCCGTTCCTGGGACAGGTGCCTGAAGTAGCCCCGAAGTCCCCCTCCCCACAACTGAGCATTTTGGGGTTGGGGTTGTTACAGAACCTGGACTGGATCGCCCGACGGAAGAACCAAGCGGCACCCGGAGATCTTGGAGGACAGGTTTATTTAACACCGGAGGGCTCAGAGGAGAGCGGTCTCCAAAGGTCTGAGCCCCGAGCACAAACAAAGGGGGGCAATTTATACACATCTACTTCCGCATACTGGGCACTCTTGGCGCGTGTGCGAAGCGGGGCAGGGAGAGGAACCCGGAAGAGCCCCATGGCGAGGACTGGGGCTCTCCCGCCGGCTCGGTCAGCCATCTTAGGACACAGACTTTCCTTATCAGGGTAAGGCCCTCTCCTGCAGGGAGGTGTGTGGACAGAAAGCCCTGGGGACACTTCTACCTCTTGGCCCCCACAGAACTGGCTGGAGGGGGTCCTGAGCTTTTCTCCCCTCCATTTCTGGAGGCTGGGCAGGCCCCAGGACTTTGATAAGCAGTGCACTCTGCCCTGTTCCTACCAGAGCCTGAGGCTCTCAGGCTCCCTGTGGCTCCAGGATTCTGAGAACTGAATGTGTTTTCGCCATTTGGCATGGCAAGAGGCCTCACGCGTCCAACGGTAGTTGGTCCTCCGACAGCAGCAAGAACAGGGGTAGCTCCTGAGCCGGCGTGGTCCAGGCATGGTCCCGCCCTGGTGTGGCTGAGCGCACAGCCTTCTCCCTGCCGGCCCCCTCCTCCCTGCCCCAGACTTCCCTAAGGCTCAGGTGGACACAGAGTCAGCCCCACCCGAAGCCCTGCCCTTGCTCTGCGGTTCACCAGCAGCTGGGGCTCCCCTCTGCCCTCCTGCCCCCTTCCCTTATCAGCTCAGGCTCAGCGTGTCAAATTAGCCTCCTCGGGGACCCTGGCACCCCCGCTCTGGTTTATCCTGCATGCCACTGAGAAATAACCTTCCAAGAGCACCGATGTGACCATATACCTCCTCTGATTAAAAACCTTCAGCAAGTCTCCATTTGATCTTCTGGAAAAAAACCAATGCACTAATAATGCGTGGATTATGCTACTTATCTAAAACAAGCTGTTCTGGACTCCGCTGCTGGCCCTCTCTCCACATGACTCACTTAGGCCTCACAGCAACCTCGACAGAGATATTATTTCCCCCCATTTTACAAGGAAACTGAGGCAGAGGCTATAACTGACTTGTCCAAGGTCACAGAGCTGGGAAATGCCTCCACTGGGATACTTGAAAGGAATTCCAAACTCCTAACAGTCGAGGCCATCCGTCACAGGGCTCCAGGGTCTCCCCTGGCTCCCAGGCAGTGGGATGCCCCCAAAGGGCATGGCACGTCCCCACTGTCCCCACTTCTAGTCTCACAGTTCCTCTGCCAAGAACGTTCTCCCACCTGTTGGACGCTTCCCCCACCTCCCATGCCCAGCCCGACACCACCTCTGAGTCTCTACCCTTCGCTGTGCACACTCATGACACTGGAATCCATTGATGAGGCACCTGCCACCCACTGTCTTTGCATGTGGTTGTTCACACCTACATCTCACCTCCCTTAGAGGGCAGAGGCCGGTGTGACATTTCCCTCCATGTCCTCACAGACCCATAATAAGGTGGGTGGCTCAAGAGGACACTGCAGAATGAATGAATGGACGGATGGATGGACATCACTGCAGCCGCCAGCAGGCTGTCACGACCACAACGCTCTGGGTGCAGGGAAACACGGCTCCCCCAGGAGACTGGTGAAGTTCCTGGCACCCTACGCCTCTGGGTGGCAGGGTGGGTATTGGGGCTGGCAGGTCACCAAGCAGAGCACCATCTGTTCCCAAACAGAGTGACTCAGACTTGACTTGTGCAACCAGCAGCCTCCCACCGTGGAGACCTGTAGAGACGAGTGCCTACTCCCCCGGATTCCTCTCCACAGGCCGTGCCCATCTGCCCCAGTGGAGCAAAGGAAGAGTTGGGGGTGTGGGCACCTGGTAGAGTCATGGTTTCCAGGGACAGGCTGGAGCAGTTACTCTTGGCTTCTCAATCTCCGCCACATAAGCACTTGGGAGCATAAAATAGATGGTCAAGCCTGAGGTCCTGGACCAACAGGGGGGTCAGAACATCGGGGTCTGCCAGACCAGCTGGGGAGGTCAGAACACTGGGGAGTCCCTAGGCCAACTGGAGGGTCAGATCATCAGGGTATCCCCCCGACCAACTGGGGGTCAAAACATCAGGGTCTCCCCAGGCCAACTGGGGGGTCAAAACATCAGGTCCCCTCAGACCAACTGGAGGGTCAGAACACCAGGGTCCCCCAGACCAACTGAGGGGTCAGAACACTGGGGGGGCCCCCAGACCAACTGAGGGTCAGAACATCAGAGCCCCTAGACCAACTGGGAGTCAGACCATCAGGGTGTCCCCAGACCAACTGCGGGGTCAGAACACTGGGGGACCCCTGGACCAATTGGGGTTCAGATCATCAGGGCCCCCCAGACCAACTGAGGGGTCTGAACATCAGGGTCTCCTCAGACCATCTGGAGGTCAGAACACTGGGGGATCCATGCATGGCCTTTTTCAGCAGCTCTCGGGTACATCAATCGTTTGGTTGAGGGAGGAATTGCTGGGTTTCAGCAAAGGGCAGGTGCAGGGGCGCCTGGGTGGCTCAGTCGGTTAAGCGTCTACATTCAGCTCAGGTCATGATTTCGGGCTCCTTGCTCAGCAGGGAGCCTGCTTCTCCCTCTCCCTCTGCCTACTGCTCCCCCTGCTTGTGTTCTCTCTCTGTGTGTCAAATAAATAAATACAATTAAAAAAAAAAAAAAGGGCAGGCACAGGCTGGACCAGTAGAGGTGAGATGCAAAGCGGGTGCCAGTGCCTTGGGCATGAGGGCCATCTGCAGTAGATGAGAGCACCCTAAGATGGTAAACAAGTGTAGATGAGCAAGAAGGAGCTTGCAGAATGGAACGTCTGGGTGCTTTCCCAGAAAGAGTAAAACCAGAGAGAAGGGCAGGAGGAGCAGGGGAGCTCCTGTGTGGGTGGGTGGTGGCTGGGAGAGGCCGGCCCTGCTCCCTCAGAGGGTAACCGAGCAGTCCCAGTGAATGAGGGGTATGGCAGCCTCACTGTGGACCCTCAAACTCAAACCTGGACTAGTTTACAGAGAAAAATGGGACGAGGTGTCCTATCTAGATTTTTTTCCTGAGAATCTGGACCATACAAGCCCTGTACCCTGGGTGGCAGAGGGGATGGTGCCCTGTGAAGAGCATTGATCTGAAATCCTAAAAACTGGTACAATGGCCTGACATCTACATCTCTGTCCTATGACATACATGGCCTGGACCCTCCTTGTTTCCATACCGGGAGCGAGTGAGCTTGTGACGGTTTGTTTTTGGTAACTTGGCTGGACCGAGGGACACCCAGATGGCTGGTAAAATGTTGTTTCTGGGTGTGTATGAGGGGAGTTGGTGAAAGCAGGTGGCCCTCCCCAGTGTAGGGGGCACCAACCAGCCCATCCAGGGCTCGGATAGAACAAAAAGGTGGAAGAAGGGTGAATTTGCTCCCTGCTCTTGAGCTGGGACATGGGCCCCCCTGGATCTTGGGCTTCTGGACTCAGGCTGAATGACCCCGTGGATTGTGGGACTTCTGGGCCACCATAATCACGTGAGCCAATTCCTATAATAAAACTCCTCTTACAACCCTCTACACGTCCCATCGGTGCTGTGTCTCTGGGGCACCCTGGCTAATCCAGGACTGCTGGAATTTTATATCCTGTGCATAGAGGATGGGGCAGCAGAGAGGTGCCCTCTCGCTCAGTCACTCCGGGTCTTTTCTCTTCCTGTTGAGTAGACATTGCAGAGACCCCCCCCTCAATCCAGTGGGCACCGTGGAAACCATCGCTTGGGAGTAGAGGTGAGGCCTCGTGGGGGAAGGACCCCGCCCGGTCACCCAGCATCCAGAGCGATGTGGGGAGGGTTTGCGATCGATCAGCCACACTCCTGGGGTCCACACATCTTGCGCTCAAGGAGTTCACGATCCAGTGTGAATGTGGATGAGTTTATATTATTATTTGGGGTTCTGAGGAAGAAGACTAGCCCTTATTCACAAGGAGCTATAATATAAGATGCACTTGGATGAGAATGGTACAAAGAGAAAGTCAGTCATTCCAATGTGTGTGTGGAGGATCCACCACCCTGTTCTGGAAGGCTTCCTGAAGGAGCAGGCTTTTGATATGGACCTTAAAAGAAATGCCTGCCAGAAATAGATATAAATTAGGATTTTTAAAAATCCAGGGGCAATTCAATGAAGAAAATGTATTACTTAGTACATGGAATTTGAAATATCTGTTTTGACTGGAAGTAGAGTAATTCATCTAAAATCAATGTCCTGATTAATATCTTGAAGGATTTGGCGAGAATTTTGCTTCAGTTCAGATTAGTTTTGCTTTCACCAAAGCTGGTTTCCCCCAGTAGACTTATCAGTTTAGTTCTGCTCAGCTAAATGTCAGTTTCGTGGGTGATTCCTATTTCAGACACCGAGCCTTTACCAAATACACCTAGAACACATGCAAAATCTGTCTCACTGAGCCAGTTTATACATCTGTGAATTAAAGCAACAGGCTCTACTGAAAATCTGTTAGAAGAGAGAGACCTGCCTGATCTATAGTCCACAAGATCCTTGACACTGGAGTCTTGCTCTACTCCATCTCTAAATGACTCCGTTCTCCTTCCTCCAAATCATAGACTCAATGGACGAAAACAAACACAAGAGCAAACCAAGAACAGAACGCAGAGAACGTTCATCTTAGTCGGGTGGTGGGGTGAGAGGTTCAGGTGAACTGACTAAGATAAATGACCAAGCCAGAACAACACAACAAAGCTAAAACTTTCAACCGGGTGAGGAAAACTCCAGAGAAATACTCAAAAAGGTCTTAAACCATCTCTTCCAATATGAATCTCAGGAATCCTCATAAAGTGTTTTTACAAAAGACTTTTTTTGGTTTTTTTTTTTTTTTTTTTTTGTAAATTGGGAAATAACCAGCAAAACAGCCAGTGGCAGAATCAGTATTGGCAAACTGATTTTCAGAGAACTGACTTTCCCTGAAGTCACCTCGAGCTGTGTTGGCTCTGGGGACGCTTCTCGCGCTCCTTCCAGTCCTCCCCAGAGCTCTAGATTGGGGCAGGGTAGCTTCCCGAACTTGGACCCCACCCTCGAAAGTCCTCCAGGAGATTTGGAGTCACTGCTGAGGCTGTTTCTGTTTATCTCCCAGGTGCCAGGTGCAGCGAGAAGGTCACTAGGATTGTCGCCTTCCAGAAGATTCTCCACCCTGTGGCTCCTGACCAACTCTCTCCACCAGACCCCCCATGCCCAAGGGGTCCTTCCTCCTTGGGGCAGGGCCACCAGGGTCTCAGGGTGGAAGACTGCGGGGGGGTGGGGGATGAGGCACTGCTAGAGGGGGCAGCCTCTGAAGCCTCAAAGTCCACACACATCTGTCTCTCATTGGAGACCTGAAGTGAGTCACTTCCTTTCCCAGACCCTCAGATTCCCCGTTTGTCCTCCTGGGGCAACAGATAAAGAGAGGTTTCTGCTGCTCTGTTCCTGCCCTGTGGCCCAGCACACCCTTTTCAGGAACAGCTCCTGAGTGAACAGCCTCAGATGCCCCATCTCCTAGCCCCCTGGGGCTGCCAGGGCCTCATTTCTCCCCTTCCCTCTGCCAGTTCCAATCTTTCTAGTGCCGCGTACATGACGTTGAGCAGAGCACGCCGTAGACATACGAAAACACGGAGATCAGAACGGCCCCGTAGCTTGCAGCCAGCTTGCGGAGTGCCTCAGGAAGGCGTCGATGGACGGCCTCCTGGCCCCTTGGCCCCCGCTCCCATGCAAACACCAGTCCTGAACGTGCGCTCACTGTTGATAGTGGGAGTTTACTATTCCCATGCATGAGCCACATATTTCTTCAAAGTCGGGGAAGAAAAGGTGTTTTTTTTTTTTAAAGAAAGAAAATCGACTTTATACTCCATCCACTCCAGCAACAGTTCTCAGATGTCTGGGGCTGTGGGACAGTGAAATACCCACATTCATTTGGGGCACTTTGTAAGGACTCTTCATTTTTCCGAGTAAGAACATGAAAAAAAAATCCCACGAAAGTATCCCCTGCCATCACGGTGGCTTCATGGAAGAAAGGACATTTAATATGGAAAATACAGAAAGAGCGTGTTCTCAGAATTTTAAACACGGCATACATTTAGGCTAGTCGAAAAATTCTTTATTTTTCCTGTTTCCACACAGAGCCTGGAAACCTTCACCTTGGGCCAGCTTGGCATTTAGGACTCACTCATTTAGAAACTCAGACCTCTGTGACTACGTCTGGAAGGGGACAGGGACTTTCTGGAGAGAACCACCCCCGTCCTGGACCCAGAGAGTATTTCTGCCGCTCCTTCCGTCACCACACCAGGTCTGTTTGCTGCCTTTGTCCCATCTCTTTATTGCCACATCCGAACCTCCCCCAGATCCCACACTTCTGTCATCTTGCTCCCTGGCCCATCCCCTGCCTCCCTCAGAACCTCAGGGGATATGAGACTCCTTCCCTGCCTCAGAGCCCGCCCCCCGCCCAGCCCACCGGGCCTCCCAGCCCTCAACCCCGGGCAGGAGCTGCCAGGCTGTGTCTGACACCTGCTAGGCTTTGGAGGGGGCCTGGCCGTACTTGGGGACTCAGTCTGAGGACAGGGCTGGGAAGAAGGAGACAGCAGCATGTGAGGGTCATGGGAGACTGGAATGACCCACCAACAATGTCCAATGGGAGAGAAGAAAACAGAAAGACCTCATCTGAGCCACAGCCCCCCCTTGGTGACCTGGCCCTGCCCCCCACACTGGGGTTTAGCTGGACAGGCTCTGCCACTCACCCCCACCCGCGCCGGAATGAGGGGCAGGCGGGAAAGGGCGGGCGCTGGTATTTTGCAATAACCCCCCAGGGAAGCTGGCTCTGTCTCCCCACCCTTAGCTGAGAACCACTGACTTGGCACAACTAGGAAAAGATAAAGTCAGTCACCGCCAAAAGCAAAAGAAAAACTCATTTCACGAAGGCGGAAGCAGAAGCCCACCATCACAGGACACCCAGGGCCGCACAGCTGGTTGAAGACTATGCTGGAAAACCATGTGTGTTTTCCGAATCCTAAGGCCCCAGGCTTGTTCTGCCTCCCCTACAGCCCTGGGATTTCAATCCGACACCATCCTTGGCCTCGGTTTCCTCCCGTGCAGGGTGACCTTGGATTAAGCCATCTCTGAGAACCAGGACAAGGAAGGGAGCCTTGAAAACTGTGACGAGCAGCCTCCAGTGGGTCTGATTTTGGGGAACCACACTGCAATGCCACAAACCCCAGTTTGAATGGGGTTGGAGGCAGCAGAGGACGAGGATGCTGCAAAGGATGGTAACTTTGTTTGTGGTGTAGAGAGTGTCTCAGTCCCAGGCTCCGGCCTCCAGCCTCCGGTCTGGACCCAGGAGCTCAGGCAGAACCTTGAGCCAAAGAAACGTGCCTCTTGTGTCCTCTCCCAGCCCGACACACCCGTCCCGCACCTGTTCTCCTCAGGCATCCGGGAGACGCTGGAGGAGAACCGTCTGGCCTACCCAGGTCGGTTCTCCCACTCGGGCACAGGGAAAGGGGCAGAGGTGCAAAAGAAACCCAAATACCACCGTCTGGAGCCTTTGATTTTCCACTTTCCAACCAAACATTCAAGCACCAGCACACACCAACCTTGGAGTTCACATTCCTTTTATTTCAACCACCACATTGCTTTGGGTTTCCTCACGACCGCCCAGTGAGGCAGGGGGCTCCCCATCTCTCTGCAGGAGCAGCTCTAAGGCCTCGCCGGGCAGAGAGCACAGAACCCAGGCCCAGGAGAGGCCAGGCTTTCCCACCAACAGGTAATCTCCCATCCACCACCCAGACTTCCCCTTGACGTCCCCGCCACAAAAGCAGGGGCCCCGAGAAGGCATGAGGACCAGAGTCAGGCAGGAGACAGGCCAGGGCCAGGCCTCACTTCTGGGAGAGGATGCGCAGGAACTCCTTGTAGTCCACCTGCCCATCCTTGTCTGTGTCGGCCTCCTGGATCATGGCATCTAGTTCCTCCTGGGACAGCGTCTGGCCCAGCTTGGCCATGGCCTGCTTGAGCTCGTCCACACTGATGCGGCCGTTGCCATCCAGGTCGAAGGTGCAGAAGACCTCCTGCATGTCCTGCTCACTGCCCCAGGACTTCATCCTCTTGACCACCTCTGCCAGGAACTCCTGGAAGCTGATGACACTGTCACCATCCGTGTCCACCTGGGCGATGAGCTCCTTCAGCTCGGCCTCCGACAGATCCTTGCCCAGGGCCTGCATCACGGCACCCAGCTCCTGGGTGTTGACGGTGCCATCGCCGTTCTTGTCAAATCTGGAGAAAGCCGCCTTGAACTCGGCCACCTGCTCTTCAGACAGCTGCTTGGCCATGTCACTCACACCCGTCACGGAGCTGCCGACCAGCTCAAAGGGCTCACGTCAGAGCTGGGGACCGGTGACTGAGACAGGCAGCCAAGTCTGTGTGAGGGCAGAGCTCCCGTGGCAGCCTTGCCCTGGGATGGGAACCCCCTCCTTTTCTACAATTGGAGCAGAGGGAGGGGAAAGGCTCTCCACCCTCCGCATGTCCTTGGGCAAAATCCTCCTCCCAGGGAGGGACAGACAAGCGGCAGACCAGAAATGCCGGAATTGGAGTGGCAGGGCCTGCCCAGGAGAAGCTGGGGGGAGCCAGCGTGGGGGCCGTCAGAGGCCTGTCAGCTTCCCCAGGACCCCATGGCAGATACAAGCCACCTTGGAAGCTTCTCACACAGACCATGGCGGGAAGGGAAAGGGAGCCTCCCTCGGTGGCCATGGCAGGTCCTGGAGGAGAGGGGGACTATCCGGCCCTCCTGTCTGTGCTCCTTTCAGGCTACTGCCCAGCTCTCATCCCACAGGGCAGACCGGTGGGGATGGATGTGGTAGAACTGCATGGAATTCTACCAGGGTGGACCCATGGGCATCATTAAATCCCCAGCCCAGGGCGGTCGACAGATCTGTAGGTGGAAGATGCGGCCCACTGCCTGCAGCCTCAAGCAAGCAAGGGGCCTGGGCGCACACAGAACCTGGCCCCCCCGGTGGTGCTGTTTATGACACGAATATTCCAAGTGTGATTTCGGGGGATGAGGAAAAGGCTTCCTGTCCCCTCAGAATACCTCTCCTCGAGCTCCGTGATTCCTCTGATCCCATTCCATTGTCAGGTTCAAGCTTCTGCATGGGGACACAGGGGAGGAGTGTGGGGTCGTGCCCGAGAGCTGTGGGGATGCTGGGGAATGCGTGGCCCCCAGGCTCCTGCGTTCTCTCGAAGGAAATCATCTCTGCCCACTGCTCTGAGTAGCAGAGTTTAGACCAAGACCTCAACCCCTTGGGGACTATTCCCAAGTCCTTAGCAAGTGAGACCCAAGCCTCTGAAGGGACATTTGCACCGGAGTCTCTATGGTGTCTTTCTCAAGCAGATCTCCTCTTGGTCCCTACACATTCCCAGGATTTCCACCCACCTGTGCCTCTGTGTATGGAATGAACTCCTTCACTCTCCCAAGGAAATGTATAAATTCCAGGTCTCTCTGGTTCAGCCCCTCAGACAGACTGAGGAGTCTCACCTTCCCTAGAGTGCAGCCGGGCAAACACCTGCCCCCCAGCCCACCCCGAGTCAGGGGACCCGGATGGAGAGAGAGACACAAAGGGAAATGTTCCAGTTGTCTAACCTCTTTTGCAAAGATGTCTTGACCAAGGATTGCTGTTTCATCTTGGCACCGGAATAGTACAGAGACCTCAATAAGCATTGAGCCATCAGTGAAACCGACAGCTGGTATCATGTGCAGAACGTGGTCTACCTGGGATGCTCCTGCTTCCGCATGTGACCCGGGATGGTTGGGGCTCCTGACAATGAAGACCTGCTCTTAAGGATATTTGAAGATATAAATCTATATTTTACATTTTCTTCTTACCTTATTAGCAGGACTTGTGATTAAAAATCCAAGATGCTTAACATTTTCTTAGTTTCCCTTGGTATTAGATGATGCATCATAAACAATGAAGAACTTTTCGAATGCTATCGGGAGACTAAACCTCTTGGTTCTAGCTCCGTTGCGGATTTGGAAGCTTAACTTGGGTCTCAATATCATCATCTATAAAATGGGATAATACGTCTGCCATATATGATCAGGGCACTTGAGATCAAAGATCAAAGCATCTTTGGTCAACGGGAGGCATCATTATTCTAGATAAACCTCATCTCTGGTAGCAAGCTGGTTTGTGTTTGATGTGAACCAACACTCAAGAAAAGGAGGACCTCAGTCTCAATTTTGTTATTATACCTTTCTTGATTGGACTGATAAACTAAACTCGTCTGCCTGGAGATTCTAGTCACATCAAACAGTCCAAGGCTCTGACACATTAGTCAGCTCTTGGACATCAGCCTCAACAACGCAGTTCCGCACAGGGCAGAGGCTTGTATGTAGAAAGAGCATCTAGCGAGTATCCTCAGGGGACCGGAAGGTGAGAAAGATTGTCGCTCACTCTCCCCATGGACAGATGGAGTCTCGGGAGGGACAGACCTATGCCCACGGGCACCCAGTAACTGCGGAAGGAGCCACAGTTCTGGTGAGTACCTCCCCACCCTCGGCCTGCCATTTTGGACCCCGCTTCCTCTCTAATACGGCGTGTTCTCTTCTCAGAACGTGAATCCATATGGAAATGCCTCCCTCACCCTCCCCACCAGGCCTCCTGCCGCAACAGATAAGCGGCCAGTCAGCTGCACGGGGCCAGCGTCAGGGATCGCTGCTCCCAAGTGACCAACAAACAGCACGGGGCGTCTGAGAGTTGAACTCAGGGCTGGGAAGGGGGGGAGCAACACGGCATGCGTCACCAAAACCTAATCCAGCTTGATGAAGCCTCCTTCTTCCTCTGCAGCCCCGGTGTAGAGCCCCGGCCCATCTCTTTGGAAGGAGCAGGAGGGAGCTGGGGACACCTCACATCCACAGGTGTGTCCTCATGGGGCCGCACCTCTCGCCAGGCTCCCTGTGTGTTGGGACAAGGGTGTCCATCAGGGATGAGTCTGAGGCTGAGAGATGGTCACTTGCTCGGCGCCCCACCGCTGAGCCCTGTGGCCGAGTAAGAAGCGTGCACAGGAAGACAAGTGAGAAGAATGCCCCACATCAGCCTGTGGGGTGTCTGTCTCCCCCCAGCTGAGTGTGAGGGAGACCAGGAAAGGCTGCCTACCGAGGGGCACAGAAGAACCACAGCTGAGTGGCGGGGGGACCCAGGTTGGCTGAGAAAGGAGCCCCTTGAGCCAACAAGAACAGAGAGGATGTGGCCAGGCAGAGCAGAGACCAGCAGTGTGGCTGGAGAAAGCCGGGGGCCTTCCTGGGGTCACCTGTCGGAGGTCAGCTCTCCTGCCCAGGACCCCCTCCCTCTCCGGCCCCTCTCAGTTTATCTCCCTGACCCTGCTGCCAGGGATACTCGGACTTCTCCCAGTGAGAGCAGCTGCAGTCCTGGAGGCAAAGAGGGTGCCCTGGGTTCAGGAGGCAACAGGGAGGAAGCAGCCTCCCCCCGCACCCCTGGCAGGAGGGGTCCCAGAGGCCGTCCCCACAGGCAGCAGGCCCCGCTGCCCCAGGGAGTCCTTACTCCCCACTGCTCCTGCAGTAGCCCTGAGTGTTCGTGCGTGCATGTGTGTGCATGAGTGTGCGTGAGTGTGCGTGAGTGTGTGTGTGTGTGTGCTGGGCACCGGCGTGCGAGGTGGCTGGCCTCCTGCTCAGGCCTTCAGAACGGATGGCGAAGCCAGCCCAGGGCTTCCCCAGGAACAGGAACACACTCAGCCCTCCCTTCCCTGTTGGCTTTGTGGGCCAAGTACTGGTGAGAAACCAGTAAGACAGGTTTGGGGGCCTCCTCTGGCTCCTCAGACTTGCGGGAACCTGCTAGTCTCTCCCACTTGAGCCAGTCTTTGGGGTTGGCGCCTCCCCCCAGCTTGCCTGGAGCTGCTGTAGGGGGACCCCTATGTGTCCGCGTGAGGCTGTCTGCACACGGAGCTTCCAGAGCCAGCTCCCAGAACCCGCCCTTGCTCCGGCCTTCTGTGAGTCGTGAGCAGGAGAAATGGTGAGCCACTGTGCTGCCGACAGGGCCCCCCCCCCCCCGAGTCCCTGCTGTGCCCAGAACCCGAAACACAAGTCACACTCCGTGGAGCAATGCGGCCTTGGAACGGGGCAGCTGTGGGGCGTTGCCCTGGCCTCCCAAGTCACAGGCCGTGTAGCCTGAGGCAGGTGACTTCACCGTAGAGAGAACACCATCCCTGCCTTACGGGGGGGGGGGGGGGGACCGACGTGGCTGCAGGAAAGGCGCTACCTCCAGACGGCTCAGGCACAGGGTCAACAGGAGCTCGGCTGCCATCCTCCCCTCACCCAGCCGCCAGCTCTCTGTGGGGCACCTCCTCAGGCTTCGGGTTCCTGCAGGCATCTGCTTGCAGATCAAAGGACAGACAGCCTGGAAGCAGAGCCAGGGTGGCTGTTCCCAGTTCTCAGAAAGTCTGAGGCCGAGCGAACACCTGGTTTCACCGATGCTAGGGACAGTGTCCGTCTTGCTCAGCGTTCCCGCTCCTAGTGCCCGCCATGGAGCAGGTGCTCCCGGGTGTTGAGTGAGTTTGGGAGGTTACCATCATTCCACAGGAGACGCTCACATGTTGAAGGCTCAGAAGTCGGGGATCACCTTTCCATTTTATTCTTACTTTTTAAAAAAGATTTATATATTTATTTTAGAGAAAGAGAGAGCGCGCGCATGTGCAGGAAGGAGGGGCACAGAGAGAGGAGAGAGAGAATTTCAAGCAGAGCGTGGAGCCCGACACGGGGCTCGACCCCACAACCCTGAGATCATGACCTGAGCTGAAATCAAGAGTCAGACATTTAACCCACTGAGCCACCCGGGTGCTCCTCGTCTTTCCATTTTAGATCCTTGTCCAAGCAAAGGCATGATTCTTGGGCTCCCAGCGGGTCACCTGGAAAAGGGCAGAGGCCCTGCCGTCATGGGCCTTGTGTTCACAGGAGCGGGGTTGGAGTCCGATCGCTCTGCACTCAGCACTGCTTGTTGGAGGGGGCTGCTGTGTCGTCAGTGCCCACAGTTTGCCCAGACTTGCCAGGAGGTTGGCAAGAGCCGTCCTTCCCGCTCTTTTTTTTCAGTGACACACCTGGGAGCTTGGCAGGATGCACATCGCTCCCCACGCGCCGTCCACCCACATAGGCAGCCTCAGTGACAGTGACGTTCTTGCTATCTGGGACTTTGCGCGAGAAATACTTTGAGTAGGGTATTTTTCCAGAGAACGGAACTGTATCCCTTCAAACACTAAGCATTTTAACTTTAACCATCTGTGCTGGAAATCTTTCTAAGACGCATCATCTGTTCTGTTCCCCTCCGTTCCGGACAAAGTGAGGTGGACCGTAGCTCCAGTGGTGAGAGGTGAGAAATGGGACCGTTGGTCTTGTCGTGGCGTAGCCCTGCCCATGGGGATGGGAGCAGGTGTGTGTGCCATGCCCTGGACGGTCCGAGTTTGCTGCAGTTCCTGCAGCTGATGCTCCCCACCCCCTGTCTGCAGTCGGCGTTACACTCCATGGTCCCAGGCTTCATTTCACGGCTCGTATTGACGTAACAAGGTAGAACCAAAGTTGTCAGGGAAAAAAAGAGTTGACCAAATTGTAAATCAGCAACTTTAATGTAAAAACAGTCATAAATCAGGGCATCTGGGTGGCTCAGTCGGTTAAGCGTCCGACTCTTGGTTTCGGCTCAGGTCACAATCTCAGGGTTGTGAGATTGAGCCCCGAGTCAGGCTCTACGCTCAGCACGGAGTCTGCTTCAGATTCTCTCTCTCCCTCTCCCTCTGTTCCTCCCTCGCTGGCGCGCATGCTCTCTCTCTCTCTCTCTCTCTAAAAAAAAAAAAAAAATGGGCGCCTGGGTGGCTCAGTCATTGAGCATCTGGCTTTGGCTCAGGTCATGATCCCAGGGTCCTGGGATCGAGCCCCGCATCGGGCTCTCTGCTCGGCGGGAAGCCTGCTTCTCCCTCTCCCACTCTCCCTGCTTGTGTTCCCTTTCTTTCTCTCTCTCTCTCTCTGACAAATAAATAAAAATAAAATCTTAAAAAAAAATTAAAAAAGCAGTAATAAATGAGTTGCTCTGATGGCGGTGCCTGATGCTTCTACTAGATCTCTAGGTTCGGGACGAGGTCCTAAAGCCTCAGGGTTGCTGTTGCCTGAACACTGGCTCAGAGCAGGTATTCATTCCCGCAGATGCACCTGCCTCAGCACCGTCCCCCATCTCTGCTCCAGGCGCTGCTGGGTCCATCCATCTGGCAAGAAATGAGGGAGGGGCAGCCCCAAGACATGGCTGCAGACCAGAGGAGTGACTGGGGTGCACCCACGCATCCGATGCACTGCTCAGAGGGAGTGAATTAGGTCACAGCACTCCCAAAGTGCTGGCCGCGGGATCCCCCTCCCTGCCCACTGGGGTTCCCTGGGAGAGCTCACAACAGTTTTGCACCGTCCCTCCACTCCTCCACCTTTCCGTTTGCCCTGAGGAGAGCCAGGCAAGAGGGTAATAGGGTCTCTGTACAAACATGCCCTCCCCACTGTGGAAATGCCCACACAAAGTGGGTCATAAGGTCCTGTGTTGCCGAGCAGAACATTCCAGAGTGTTTGTGACAACCTCCTGCCCCACAGAACCTGATAATATTGGATGTACCTTTCTTGCTCTCCTTTGCTGGCTTGAACACACACACATCCACACTCATAACTGAAACTACATGACTGCCCACATTTTATCTTGCCCGGGTAAGGGCATTTTTAAAAATGACCTTTTCCTTTACCCACCACCCACTGAAGAATTAAGAATGGACCTTCTAGAGAAAAAACAGTTGGCAAGTTTATATGAACTCCTCTCTCGGTGGGTAGGTGAACGCTCCATCATGGTCAGGCACCAGACCAGGGACTGGCTTTTGGGATCTCTGGGGGCAGGTGCAGAACCAGGGTGTGGTAGGAAGGGGGCGCACAGCTGCTAGGGCTTGGGGGGGAGTCTGGGGGGACAGTGGGGTGCCAGGATATGAGGTGGGAAGAGCAGGGTCTCTAGGTCCCTGGAGAGACAGGTGGTAACAAGAGAGGGAAGAAGGGACCCCCAAAACGGAGAGGTTGCCAGAAGCTAATTATGGCTTCTTCACCATTTTGTCAGAAGCACCAGGACACAGAGAAATAATCCACCTATCACAGGAGAACATAAACAGCGTGGTATTGCACTCATGTTAACGGCCGTGAACACAGGCAGCCTTCAGGGAGTTTAGATCTAGCTAACGAAATGCCAGCAGACAGGGAGGGGTGCGGTGGGCCCAAGTCAGAGGTGGGATAGCAGAAATACATTTAAATAATTCTGGAAACGCCGAAGTTATGAAAGACTATGTTAAAAATAATACTGACTACGTCAAAAACGCGCTGTTCTGTGAGTGACAAAAAGTGACTGTCAAGGAAGAAGAGTTGGCGTCTCTTCTGTTAATATATTTTTAGTGTCAGAACTTAGAAGAAGAGATTAAATATCTCATTTGAAGCCTCAGTCGTGCTGAGAACGCAAACAGCTTCTTTGGGATTTCGTGGCAAAGACAAAGCCGTTCACACTAACAGCTGTTCTTCCCTAAAAGTAATACGAACACCATGAAACTCATATTTCTCCCAGGAAACGTGGCCATCTGGAGACGTCCAAGAATAAATTTCCAACTTCCCTTGCTCTAGTATAATTATGTGAATAGTTTCTGGCCAAAACGATGTAAGCAAACGAATTGTGGGCAGCCTCTGGGAAGAGAGGAGATTGACTTTCTCCACTGTTTTCCAGAATTCTGCTGTGCAGAATTCGAGTTTGAAGCGAGGCCTTTGCCCCGCCGCCTTGGGTCAGGAGGTGGTAAAGAAGTACAGACAGAGCTAGAGAGCCCTGGGTCCTGAATGTTCTGAAGATGCCTTGTCACATCAGACTGCTCTCCTGTGGACTTCCTTCATATTTATGAAATAAAATTCTATATTGTAAAAAAAAAAAAATTCTATATTGTTTAAGCTAAAAAAAAAAAGGGACAGATCTGGGAGGAAATGATCGGTAGACCAATGATTTTATGTATGAATGAAGTCAGCTCTTAATTTAAAGAAAACACACATAATAAAATAGAAACAGGCTAGCTGTGTGTGAAGCCAGCTCACAGAAAAGCAAACCCAAATGGCCAACACTGAGAAACTCTACAATTGGGCAGGAGACGGAGACATACAATTTAAATTGATGATGAGGTATCATTTTATCTGCAATCTGGCTGGCAAATGTTCACTGGACGCTCTATTACCAGAGACGACACGAAGAGATGTGTATCGGCCCAGGCTGCTTGTGAAGAGGGCGAGTGTGGCCGCCTTGGTTCGTCTGAGAAATCTGGCAACATGTCGCGTAGGCAAAGCCATCCTGGGATTATAGGAGCACGATCACAGGTCTGGGCCATTAACGGTGGGGAGGTGCCGAGATGCAGGAAAGCGGGCAACTAGCAAGAGAAGGAACAGATGAAAGAGGTGGTCAGTGCGTGTGCGTGTGTGTGTGTGTAAGAGATCAGCCATCGCTTGAAAGGGCGTTTATTCCGCTCCTGTTTCTGGAATG